TTTTGCGGGGTTTTCCATTGGTCTCAATGGGAAGGTGCATTTTTGGTGCATATTATTATTATATATATATTTTTTTTTTTTGTTTTGTTATCACACCAAACCACCAAAAATGCAGCAAACCCCTAACGGATCAGTGTGAACAGTTCCATAGGAATACATTGTCACACCTTTTTTTCTTCAGTTTTTTTTTTTTAACGCAAAAGCAGAAGAAAAAGCGATGATTGTGTAAGCAGCCTAAGTGGTATTAGCTGCTCAGCTTGTGCAACGTGAACCTGTTACCTTGTCTACTATGATCAGTGTATAGGTTCACTTTATAAAGCGTCTTATGGAAAGCAGTTTGCAGTACGTGGTCACTGGCTGTTTATTGTGCAATAGAGGAATCTGTAGTCCTTCTTGTCGATGGGCTCTTGTGTCATTGTGCCTTTTCCCAAGGTCTCATGACAATGCAGTCACACCATTGACCTAAAAAAATAAAAAATCTCCGCTAGAGTCGTGATTCTTTAATAATTGCTTGTTTAGTACAAAAGTGGAGAAACTAAAATCTATCGCCTGTCATTTTTATCCTAAGCATCTCCATGGTAACTACCTTTTAGTTTTTCCTTGATCGTGGGAGATGGCAACAGAGAAAGCAAAAAGCAGAATAAATTTTTAGTCCATGTATTCCATGTAATATATAGTACATTATATGGTATTCCCATCCTGGCTATTGCTTAATTCATTCCCCTTACAGTTTTTTAACATCTAGTCTAAATTTTTAAGATATATATATATATATATATATGTATATATAAATTTAATTGGGATTTTTATTGTTTCTGATTATAATTCAAAAATATACATGCACATGTGCTAGGGGCAGATATATTATTTTTATTATTAAAATGGTTGTAAAGGCAAGACATTATTTCCTTAATGCAATCCTTGCACTAAAGTGGTCGTGAAGGCTGCAGATTTTTTTCCTTCATGTATTCCTATGCATGAAGGTAAAAACCCCTTCTGCGTGCAGCAGCTCCCGTAATAGTTATCCAAGCCGCACCCTGATCCAGCGATGTGTATGAGAGCCTTGGCTCTCCAGAGACTCTCCCTCCTCATTGGTCTGTCGGTCACAGCCAGTGAGCCAATGAGGAGAGAGAGGGGGCTGGGCCAGCCCACAGCTCTGTGTGTGAATGGACATGCTGAGCAGTGGCTCAGTAGCCCCCATAGAAAGCTGCTTGCTCTGTGGGTACTCAGCAGGAGGGAGAAGCAACAAGTGCCGATGGGGGACCCTGAGAAGAGGAAGTTCGGGGCTGTGGTGTGTAACATCATTGCACAGAGCAGGTAAGTTTGAAATGTTTTTTTTTTTTTTTTTTGCGTTTTAATATCACTTTAAAGTAAAAAAATGTCCCAGTATTTGTCTTGCTGTCTCACCTACCTATATATTTACTTATCTTGATCTAGCGCTGTGCCTGTGTGCAGCAGCCCTGGTCTTACTTCCTCTCCTTACACACAGAGGCAGCAGCGGTTCCTGTTGCTGTCAGTATAATGATGTGATGAGGGAGTGGGGGCGGGGTCAAGCCCCTCTGTGTGTGTCAATGGCTGCACACAGCCCAGCTCGAAGCAAAATTGCAGGTGTAAAATTTAAAAGTGAATACTTGTGAGCTATTATGAATGAGGTGTTCAGTTGAATAATTATCTGCTAAATAATGTGCTTGGTTCGCTGGCACTTACACAAACCCACTTAGTTGTGTGCCTATTATCCAATTATATACCCTTATAGTGCCGCGCTCCTATTATAAATACTTTATCACAAAATATATCACACTTATAAATAAATAAACTTAATAAATTAATTAATACATGAAAAATATGACAAAATAAATTAATGTGACTTATTATAAATAAATAAATCAAACCATATTTGTGTTTAAAACATACCATATGCAATCAATCAATATTTATATAATAGTGCAAATTCAATAATAAATGTGCAAATGTAATCAATAAAGTGCATGAATAAAAGTCTTTTTATAAATATGTGCAATGTGCAGGTGAACTCCTTATTCCCTCTTTCCAGGTGCCGTGTAGTCTCAATATGCGCTCACCTTAATATTTGCCTAAAATAAATTTAATTTGTCATATTTTTCATGTATTAATTTATTAAGTTTATTTATTTATAAGTGTGATATATTTTTGTGATAAAGTATTTATAATAGGAGCGCGGCACTATAAGGGTATATAATTGGAAAATTGCAGGTGTGCCACCTTAGCAAGTGGCATGCTCTGGGGGCACACACAGAAGAGGAGGCACTAAGAGCACAGGTGGGGGACCTCAGAGGAGGAGGTTAGGGGCAATACCATTGCACAGAACAGGTAAGTATAACATGTTTGTTATTTATTATGGGCATTTACTGTATATAGCACCAAAAACATGCACAGTGCTTTGCATATTGTACATTCACATCAGTCCCTGCCCTCATGGAGGTTACAATTTGCGGTCCCTACCTCACATGTATACACACATACTAGGGCTAATTTGGACAGGAATCTTGGAAGAAAATGGATTACTGAGGGGAAACTCACGCAAGAACAGGAAGAATATGCAAACTCCAAGGGGTCTCCAAGCTTTCTAAGCAAAGGTCAGGCCAGGCCAGGTTATGGCCCTTCAGACTTTAGAGGGGGCGGACTGTGGACACAGTCCGATAATAAATGCCCCAGAGTCAGTTGGAATAAATAATGCCCCAGGCTTGGTGGTCAGTGGGGGTAAGAAACTTACATAGAGCCTGTGGTCAGTAGTAGGAGGAATAGTTCCTTCATTGATATTAGTAGAAGGAATAGTGCCACAACAATAGTGTCAGTGAAAGGATTGGTATCCAATCAGTTTCATTGAAAGGCATAGTACCCTCTCATTGGGGCCAGTGGGAGAAAATTGTGCGCCCTCATTGGTGCCAGTGGGAGGAATTGTGCCCCCTCATTGGTACCAGTGGGAGGCTTGGTGCCAGCGGGGGAGGAATGGTGCCCCCTCATTGGTGCTAGTGGGAGGAATGGTGCCCCCTCATTGGTGCCAGTGGGAGGAATGGTGCCCCCTCATTGGTGCCAGTGGGAGGAATGGTGCCCCCTCATTGGTGCCAGTGGGAGGAATGGTGCCCCCTCATTGGTGCCAGTGGGAGGAATGGTGCCCCCTCATTGGTGCCAGTGGGAGGAATGGTGCCCCCTCATTGGTGCCAGTGGGAGGAATGGTGCCCCCTCATTGGTGCCAGTGGGACGAATGGTGCGCCCTCATTGGTGCCAGTGGGAGGAATGGTGGCTCATCGTTGTCAGTGGAAGGAATAACGCCCCGTCATTGGAGTCAGTGGAAAGAAAAGTGCCCCATTGTTGGTATCAGTGAAAGGAAGAGTTTCTCATGTCAGTGGGAGGAATAGTGTCCTAGGGACTGGATAAAAGCCAGTAAAGGGCTGCAATTTGGAGACCAATGCACTAAAGTTTTAAAGCTGAGGTATCCAGGTAGGTATAAAAGACACAAATTATTGCAACTCTCTAATCTTTAATGAAAAATGGAACAATCCTCCTGCGCTGCCAAATGGCTGTAATCCCCTCCAAGTGGCTGCAGACACCTAACTATACTTCGAATAGTGATAGCAAAAAATGAATGATGGATTGGTGCTGCGCTACTCAGTGCATAGATAAATATACATATAAATGCAAGAAGTATTAAGATAAAAAAAAAATATACCCCATCCCCAAATGTAAAGATGGAAAACTGCTAAAACAGCAACAAGTGTAAAAACGTGGCCAAAAATAATTATTGTAAACAATAAATCATCCACATAGCCACAAAGTGTAATCGGATGATCAGTGATAAACAAGTGAATGAGTGATCAACAAATATACATGAAAAATGAACAAAATGTGACACAGTAAATAAGTCCCAGAATGAATATAATAGTCCCAAAAACAGACACAGTGAATCTTCAGCACAAGCCGTGAGACATCAAGTGGTCACTGCAAACAAACCATCCTCCACTAGTTAGTGTGCGCACTCACCTTCAGACTGAGACCTGCCAGGGGTCAAAAGGCATCAAGCACTCAAATGATGATCTCAATAAGAGTTGACCTCCGTAGTAAACAAACAAAGACTCCTCTCCGGTGAAAATGGCAAGCACTCACAGGCGTAACTTATAAGGATATGGCCATAGATCTCTTTCACCTCCAATATCCCCACATAGAAGATTAAACAGGAAAACTTCCCATAGTGTAGTAAGTTAAAAGATTTATTGTAAAAAATACACAGAGTAACTGCTCACATTAAAAATTGGGGTCCGCAGACCCATACCAACAAAAGCACTGAAACAAACTGCAGACAGGTGTATGTGGTTGGAAGTACCAAGATGGCGGCTGCTGTCCGTATGGAAATGACGTCACCACGCTTCCATCCTACGCTGGTTGATGGAAGGAATGGAAGCGTGGTGACATCATTTCTGGTACGGACGGCAGCCGCCATCTTACTGTATAGAAAATTTAGGTCTCCTGCCTTGCCAGACAGGACTATGCCGAGTGACTGCACAGTGTAAATCTCATAATAGGGATGAGCAGAAATACAAATCTTTTGGCAGTCCAATCCAGTCTATGTATTTAATATGTCTATTTAGTGGTCTGCCTAGGTTTTAGCTTTAGAGATGTCCTAGTAAGAGGTTCACTAGCTCCTCGCCTTCTGAGCAGCATATACTAACCTTTCCTCACTTCTACACCACTAGGCAGGGAAAGAATTGTTGGGCTAACTTTAACCACTAGCCTACAGGGCACTTATACCCCCTTCCTGCCCAGGCCAATTTTCAGCTTTCAGTGCTGTCACATTTTGAATGACAATTGCGTGATCATGCAACACTGTACCCATATGACATTTTTTTGAGACAGAGCATTCTTTTGGTGATATTTAATCACCTCCTGGGTTTTTTATTTTTTTTGCTAAACGAACCAAAAACAACTGAAAATGTTGAAAAAAAAAAGTATTTTCTTAGTTTTTGTTTTAAAATTTTGTAAATAAGTGATTTTTCTCCTTCACTGATATGCGCTAATGAGGCTGCAGTGATGGGCACTGATGAGGCACTGGTAGGTGGCACTGATGGGCATTGACAGGCATCACTGATGGGCACTGAAAGACAGCACTCATATATGGCCCTGTTAGGCGGCACTGACTGGCCCTGTTAGGCGGCACTGACTGGCACTGACTGGCACTGATAGGCAGCACTGACTGACTGGCATTGATAGGTGGCACTGACTGGCACTGATAGGTGACACTGAAAGGCAGCTCAGATGAGCACTGATATGTGGCATTGATGTGCACTGGTAGGCACTGATGTGGCATTGATGGGCACTGGCAGGTGGCACTGATGATCACTGACAGCTGGCATTGATGGACACTGGCATGTGGCACTGCTGGGGCTACACTGATCATCAGGGCACACTGATCATCTCGAGCTGTCAGCGTGACAGCTTGTGAGGAGAGAAATGCTGATAAACGGCATTTCCCTATTTACATGTGATCAGCTGTGATTGGACACAGCTGATCAAATGACTGAGCCGAAATCTTCGGCTCTTTCTGTTGATCGATGATCCGCTGTGTCCAAGGGACACAGCGCACCGCTCATCTCCGCGCTGCGCGCTTACAATGGGAGGACATCATATGACGTCCTCCCAGAATGAGAGAACTGCCTTATATGGCTAAAGAAGAATTCCAGGATAGGCAAAATAATCCCCCATACACTAAACAGTTAATACAATTTGAACATCCTTACCATTTAGGAGAAAAGTCTAATTGAATTGAATTTTCATGTCCTCATCTCTGTAATTCAAAAGATAACCACATCTGTTCTGCCAAGGAGGAGGTGTAACAGCAGGGATTGCATCATATCCTCTCTCTCTCTGCAGCAAAAGGAAACTACAGTTCCCATCATCCACAGGGAATTGTAGTAAATGTGGGTGTTTACACTAGGCCTGTACATGTTAAATGTCTCTGAGAGTCTTGGTGCGCGCACTACTGCAAGTGGGCTGAATTAAATCACTGCTTCCTGGAGAAAGAACTACAGAAGGGATGTGCCATGACCAGTGACTGGGGGAATAGGAGGCATAGCAGGAAACCAGAGAGAATATGTCGTTTTTGTTTGAAAATGAATAGTCTATTATAGAGCAACTACTAAGTGAACCAGAAGATGAGTGACATATTCACTGAAGATAGGAAATCCACAAGAAGGACATGTAAAGAAGTGCCTGGAGTTCTGCTTTAAAGTATGATAAATGTAAAAAAAAAAACATTTTTGTGGATGCCGTATTAGGCCTCCTTCACACAGGCATACTAAAGTAATACACCCGTGCGAGGACCATGGTTTCCTGCCCTGGGATACACAAGTGTTCCATGCATCATCACTCCTATTCATTTCATCAGCTGCACAAACACAGCAGCTGCTCACCGTTTGACATCTGCACAGTGCACCGCTGCAAACACACATTGGGATTATTTACTAAAACTGGACTGCAAAATCTGGTGCAGCTCTGCAAAGAAGCCAATCAGCTTTCAGGTTTTAGCCCTGGTTCACATATATAGTCAGGTCCATAAATATTGGGACATCGACACAATTCTAACATGTTTGGCTCTATACACCACCACAATGGATTTGAAATGAAACGAACAAGATGGGCTTTAACTGCAGACTGTCAGCTTTAATTTGAGGGTATTTACATCCAAATCAGGTGAACGGTGTAGGAATTACAACAGTTTGCTTATGTGCCTCCCACTTGTTAAGGGACCAAAAGTAATGGGACATAATAATAATCATAAATCAAACTTTCACTTTTTAATACTTGGTTGCAAATCCTTTGCAGTCAATTACAGCCTGAAGTCTGGAACGCATAGACATCACCAGGCGCTGGGTTTCATCCCTGGTGATGCTCTGCCAGGCCTCTACTGCAACTGTCTTCAGTTCCTGCTTGTTCTTGGGGCATTTTCCCTTCAGTTTTGTCTTCAGCAAGTGAAATGCATGCTCAATCGGATTCAGGTCAGGTGATGGACTTGGCCATTGCATACCATTCCACTTCTTTCCCTTAAAAAACTCTTTGGTTGCTTTTGCTATGCTTTGGGTCATTGTCCATCTGCACTGTGAAGCGGAGTCCAATGAGTTCTGAAGCATTTGGCTGAATATGAGCAGATAATATTGCCCGAAACACTTCAGAATTCATCCTGCTGCTTTTGTCAGCAGTCACATCATCAATAAATAAATACAGAGAAACCAGTTCCATTGGCAGCCATACGTGCCCACGCCATGACACTACCACCACCATGCTTCACTGATGAGGTGGTATGCTTAGGATCATGAGCAGTTCCTTTCCTTCTCCATACTCTTCTCTTCCCATCACTCTGGTACAAGTTGATCTTGGTCTCATCTGTCCATAGGATGTTGTTCCAGAACTGTGAAGGCTTTTTTAGATGTCGTTTGGCAAACTCTAATCTGGCCTTCCTGTTTTTGAGGCTCACCAATGGTTTACATCTTGTGGTGAACCCTCTGTATTCACTCTGGTGAAGTCTTCTCTTGATTGTTGACTTTGACACACATACACCTACCTCCTGGAGAGTGTTCTTGATCTGGCCAACTGTTGTGAGGGGTGTTTTCTTCACCAGGGAAAGAATTCTTCAGTCATCCACCACAGTTGTTTTCCATGGTCTTCCGGGTCTTTTGGTGTTGCTGAGCTCACCGGTGCGTTCCTCCTTTTTAAGAATGTTCCAAACAGTTGTTTTGGCCACGCCTAATGTTTTTGCTATCTCTCTGTTTGGTTTGTTTTGTTTTTTCAGCCTAATGATGGCTTGTTTCACTGATAGTGACAGCTCTTTGGATCTCATCTTGAGAGTTGACAGCAACAGATTCCAAATGCAAATAGCACACTTGAAATGAACTCTGGACCTTTTTATCTGCTCATTGTAATTGGGATAATGAGGGAATAACACACACCTGGCCATGGAACAGCTGAGAAGCCAATTGTCCCATTACTTTTGGTCCCTTAACAAGTGGGAGGCACATATGCAAACTGTTGTAATTCCTACACCGTTCACCTGATTTGGATGTAAATACCCTCAAATTATAAAGCTGACAGTCTGCAGTTAAAGCACAACTTGTTCGTTTCATTTCAAATCTATTGTGGTGTTGTATAGAGCCAAAAATGTTAAAATTGTGTAGATGTCCCAATATTTATGGACCTGACTGTATGCGTCCGTGCGAACCACATTTTGCACGGGCACGAGAGCCCATTCATTTGAATGGACTCCCGTGCCCCGTGACATGCTGAGAAGTCCCTGCACTTCTTCTGAAAACGCAGCCCGCACGGGAACTTCGGTTCCCAGTACGGTTGCGTTTTCCAGAACTTTAGAATTAATGGCACCCACCCGCGGGTCCGCATTCCTCTGTGCGGTTGGTGCGGCTGCATGGATTTTCATGCGGATCCGCAGCTGCACCACCCGCACATATGTGAACCTAGCTTGTCTTAATTAAACAAGCTGAAGTTAGAAGCTGATTGGCTACCATGCACAGCTGCACCAGATTCTGAGTGCAAAGGTTTTAGTAAATCAACCCCAGTGTCTGCATTCTGGGCTGTGTACCCGTACAGATGTCAAATGTCACCAATCTGTGTGTACAAGAGGCACAGAGAAACTGGAACTGCATCAGAACCACCTCCCTGCTCACCAATTGTGATTGACCATTCGCACATTGATAAACCATAGAAACTCTCTTCTATTTATCATGCATGAGCATTTTCAGTGCTCATAGAAGGGCTCATGGGACTCATAGGCCTGCTGCCAGGAGAGACAGTGTGTGCTCTCCCCATCCAGAAGTTAGGGGGAGGGCAACACCAGTGAGCCAGAGGGGGGAAATTGAGAGCAGTAAATTCAAATGGTTATAAAAACTATTTTGATTTATATAAAAAGGCATTTCAAATAAATTTGGGTTTCATACTATTTTCTGCTTTAAATCGCTATGTTAAAGGTTTGTTTAACCACTTCAAGCCGGACACTTTTTTCCTGCCCAGGCCAGTTTTTCAGCGCTCTTGGCTTTCAGCACTTTGAAAATGAATGATTTTGCAACACTTTTTTTTATATTAATTTTTTTTTTTTTTGAGACACTGATAAAACTTTAGCATTTATTACACTGGGATTCACCATAGTGACATAAATGAAAAAGTTCTTGTAAAAAAAAGTTTTTTTTTATAAAAATTTTGCAAATACATAATCTTTTTTTCTTGGCCAAAATTTATTCAGTTCTCTTTTTAGTAAAAAAAATAATTTTTAACAATTTTTTTTTTTTTTTTTTTTATATTATTATTGTTTTTTTTTTTTTTACATACTGTCACCCTAGCAGTACAGAGTCACCATAGTGACACTGTACTTCTTGTAAGGGCGGTTATGAAGATTTTTTTTTTTTTTTTACACGGATTGCTTTTACACCCATAAAGGCTGTAAAAGCAATAATTTCTCCTTCTCTCTGGCTGCATTCTTGGAGCCATTGAGAAATACTTTTGTAAGCTGTGATTGGTCACAGCTTCTCACATGGTACAAGGCTGTTGTGAATAGCCTTGTACCATGTGACCTCTGTGATCATTCACGGATTTCACATGTAGTAAGCAATGATGTCAGAAGTGCTCTGCATGTGATCACTGATTGGCGGGCTGTTGACTCATGTTTGAGCTCTGGCAGGATCCCGGGATTCACCCAACTGCCTGATTGACAGCTGGCTGTGGCTCTCAGTGCACTGCTAAGAATCAAAGCAAGCTGCACTCGCCCCCTCAACAGTCTAGCGCTGGAGGGGCAGAGCAGAGAGTGGTGAATGTCAGTCACCACTCTTTGATCAGAATAGATAGAGAACTGAGCAATCATCAGTCATGTGATTGCTCAGTTCTCTGCCTTAGAGCTGGGAAGGGACAACTGCAGCATCACACCAATGCTGCAGCATCACACCAGTGCTGCAACATGGAAGTGATGATGTATGTTTGTCTTTTTTCAATTTTTTTTTTTTTTAAACAAAATTTCTGTAATAATTTGCCAGTAAATGAATAGTGTTCTCTTCAAGCTCAATTTTTGTACTGTTTCTCTTTCCAGCCCCACTTTTCTAAAGTGTAATCTGAAAGTTTCTGGATGAATGAAGTCAGCCTTGTGCAGGGGATTCTGTGATTTGGCTGTTTAAAGTGCCTGCAGGTTTGTGTCCACTCTCTTCACATTATAGTAAATCTGGCCCTTTGTCTGATTTTATTTTTCAGTGGCTCCTCAAAAGTGGAAGAAGCTTGTGAACTCTACGCCCGGGCTGCTAACATGTTTAAAATGGTGAAGAACTGGAGCGGTGAGTGTCAGATTGTAGGTGATTGGGCCTTGTGTTTTGTGCAGAGTGGAGGATTAGAACACTTGTCAGGTGTTTAGTTCTGTCTCTGCTCCCCTTAGGCTGGGTTCACATCTATGCTAGTGCAGTGTAGGGCTGCATGTTATTCGCATGTGTTCCCCAACTTCCAGTACAAATACACTGCTATTCAGCAGACATATATTAATTCTTAATGACACTTCCATGCTTTGGAAACTACGGTGTGTTTTCCCGTGCACAGAAACACATAGCAGTATACAGTTTCCATTCGGCTTCGGTTTTAGAAAAGGTTCCAGGATCTTTTCCCTGTGTTTTCCGCAGGTACAGCAGCCCATTCAAATGAATAGGCTGCTGTGAACACACAAACGCGGCTATAGGGAAGCATCATAAATGTGAATGTAGCCTTGTAAGTGGTTGTAAACCCTTACATGTACCCAGTCAAGTGACTGGCCCCGGGTGATACACAGAAATGAACAAAACAAATCCTGTACCTATAAATCTGCAGTATTTCTCTATCTACAGCTATTAAAAGTCCAAAATTTATACAGCTTGTCTGAGCTTTCAGAAAGCCAGGGTGGGCAGCTGAAGTTACATTCATTGAGGAGAGCCAAGAGCTGATTGTCGGCAAGGGACACACCCTCCTTCACAGAGCACACAGGAACAGGGCTGAGGCTGTCAATCACAGGATGTGTGCTGTGCCATTTTTCTCTTCCTGTCAGAAAACTCTGTCAGAAGTGATTCATGGTGATAGGAAAGGAATAAGGCAGCAGACAGAAATAGCACTTAGTGCTCTGCACTGAGAAAAATGCACACTATATAGGATTATAGGATATTCTTTGTTCATATTTCATGTCAGGGGTTTACAACCAATTTTAACACCACTTCAAGACCGCAATACACATATCTATCATATATATATATATATATATATATATATATATATATATATATATATATATATATATATATATATATATATATATATATAATTTGGTTACGAAGTGGAATTGCCGGGGTTATGGCTGCAGCTGGATGCAGCTATTTTCCTCAGCCGCTGCGGTTTCTAATAAAAGTGATTCAAGCATCCGATTAGCCGCTGGATCACTTTTAGAAGCAGCGGGAAGGGTCCCCTTTTCACTTTCCAGTGGTCCCTAGTCTTACCTGCCTGATTGGTGAGCCCAGAAACCATTCTGACAATCACGGCATACTTTTGGTCCCTTGAAAATGGGGGGATGGCTACTCTTAAGAGCAGTAATTCCTAAACCCTTCCTCCAATTTGGATGTACATACCCTCAAATTAAACCTGAGAGTGTGCACTTTCAGCCCATATCCATTATATAACTATAGCTTGAATATGTTTTGGTAAATACCTGAAAAAATTTAAAATTGTGCCTGTCTCCAAATATATATGGAGCTAACTGTATATATAATGTCTGGGGATTCTAATTAACTGTTTATCAAAAAATACAGATTTTTACTTGTAAACAAGAAGTGTCAGAAAATGCTTGGTCTTCAAGTGGTTAAGGAGATTTGCCCTCCTTTGTCTTGTTTACTGTTATCGCTGAAAATGAAAGAGAAATTCCCACATTTGAGTTGTCACCAGAACAGGAATAAACAGGAAATCTTTCAATGGGGTTACCAGCTCTGGTGACCCTGGTGAGAGCCATGGATTCCCTTACTTTAGCTATGAGACAGGAAGTGAGGGAAATCTCCCCTTACATGGGTTATAACCATTCCTTACACTATCCAAATTTTCCAGAATTTTCTTTTTCCTTTAATTTTACTTTAAAGAGGCAGAGCAGAAAAGTCCAAGCATCCCTCATAATAAACATCCGATTCCATTTTTTGGTGCTGATTTGAAAATAAAGTCTGTTCTGCACACAATTCATTACTTTTTTGTTCTTTACATTACTATAATTTTGTCTCTTTTGTTCTGTGAAGTGACTAAAAGTTTCTCATGTAATTATAAATCCTTCTCATCCTCTTCCAGCCGCTGGTAATGCTTTCTGCCAAGCTGCTCAGCTTCATCTACAAGTCCAGAGCAAGCATGATGCAGCAACAAACTTTGTGGATGCTGGCAATGCCTTCAAAAAGTCTGATCCTCAAGGTAAGAGCGTTGTCTGCCCACAATGATGGGGTTTTAGGCACCTGGCACAAAGAAATAAATGGGAGCTGTTGTTAATGGTGTGAGCTTAGGAGCCATAGTGATCATCTTTACTTTACAATGAATTATCCTGCGCCTCCAATAAGTGGATAGGAATAAACCAGACGTTGCGGTAACTAAAATTATCCAACAACTTGTTAAAAGTGCAGTGATGCCAACTAAAATATAAACCCCATAAATATACCAATATAAGATTGCTGCAAACTAACAATTGTGTTCCCACAACATGGGTTTAAATAAGATGAAAGAAAATTGCTGCGCCTACTTCTTTTTCAAAGTGCAAAGATTGTGCAAACCCCGTACATACATACATATATATCCCCCCAAGTGTATGTCTGAATAAATATATCGACTCAGAATGCAATAACTATAAACATCTGTACAGATAATAGTTTGTAGGTCGTATATCCATCTGGATTCTCGTTGGCTGAGGGACTTTATTTTATTGTTACCCCTCCACTGTTTCTGTAGTTTTTCAAGCCCCCAGAATGGTTGGGTCTTCTGATCTTTTATTATGATACAAGCGGAAATTCTTAGATACACTATGATTCTTAAAAGAGAAGTATGAGATTGCTTTTTTTTTTTTTTTTTTGAAATCATACTTACCTAGGTGGGTGCAGAGTCGGTCTGATGCTGTATCTGTCCCCTGCAGGCTCTAATTATGAGAACTCTGTGATCACATGACTACTGATTGCTGAGTTCTCACCGCCTCTGTGCCACACTAGACTCTGGGGTGGATGCCGACTTTAAAGTCGGCCTCTTTCCCCAGCCTGGACAGGCTGAGTATCATCCTCCAACAGCAGGCTTCAGCCCGCTGTCAGCTGAAAACTAGTCACAGGAGAGCAGAATGAACTGCGCTCCTGTAAGCCACAGGCGAAGTACAGCCAAAAGAGCTTTGGCTGTACCTCTTGTAATTCCAATGGATATTGGTCATCTATTCTTTTAGCTAGCTTTCTCTTCTCTCTCCCCACATATCGGAATAAGACAAAGGGGGGACAAAGTGTATTGGCAGGTCCACCATGTGAGGTGAGCGGTGGCAGGAATCATTACGTAAGATTTGGATTAAACACAAGAGGTGCTACATAGGAAGAATTTGGAGAAGTTCACAGTTTATTGTTCGACATAAGGCTGAATAGATAACTAAGCACTTATTATCTGTACAGGACACTTTTTTTGTTTTGACACTTGAGGTTTATGGTATCGCATTTTGAGTCAATATATTTATCAGGCATACACTTATGATATACATATGTATGTACGGGATTTGCACAATAATTGTACATTGAAAAAGAGGAAGGCGCTGCAATTTGCTTTCATTATAATTATCTTTACTTTACAAGTTCCAAGCTCGCTAGCTGCACTTAAAGTGAAGAATGTGTGGATAATTGTATTCATCCTGGTATGATGTCTTTACATGAGCAGTAGAGCTATCAAACTGCTTTTCTACAGTGACATTGTATAAACGGTGGATTGGTGGACAGTTACTTACCCATTGCTGTATATAAGTTGTACTGCATAAGGCTGCGCTCAGTAATGTTGGTGAACCAAACGTTCTTTGGAGATCTCCATTCAAAGACACCATGCATAGAGCCCATTCTGCCAAAAATGTGACCTTTGAGGGCATTCTCATGGAATAGTTGAATGGCAGTTAACCCTTCATGAATCAAAAAACGGGAGAAAGGTGCCAAGAAGCCTTGTATTGTAGTAGATTTTATTTATTCAAAGGTTCAAAACAAATCAGATGCACTCATAAGTAGAAGGAAAGTCCGGGCTTGTCACAGAGTACCAGTCCAGGGCATGGGTGGATGGGTGAGCCAGCTGGATGAAACTTTGGAATGAGAGCCACTGCTATAGTCTGTGGACCGAAAGCCCCTGACACGGAGAACACTGCACCTCCGTGAGTTGCCGCCTCTGGAAGGAATCTCCACCGCCACTGTGTGTAGCTGTGAGCCACAAAGGATGCTGGTACACCTTTCGGAAGAAACTGTGCTGCTTTCATCAGACTGAACTAGTTGCTAAAATACAAGATTTAAATCAGAGAGAGGTTTTTAACCCTTGATTAGCAGTAGGCCAAATATGGGTACTACAAACTATGTCCCATAAAGATAATGTGCTGTCTTTGCAGTATATTCAAGCCTGACGGGGCATGATGGAACGAACATAAGAAAAAAGAAATAATAATTGATAGATATACATACCTGTATGATTTTGATGGACGAATTGAGGTAAACAAAGTGTTAGATCAAGATCAATAAATATGACAGAACCTATGTCGTAGTGAAAAATAGTGTAGAACAAATATAATACCAAAACAAATACAAGTGAATAAGGAATATATTAAAAGATGATTAAATTACTGTAAAATGACAACTTAGAATAAATCAGAAATTAAGGATGAGTAAATTAATAAATTATTGGTTATAAAAATATACACATAATTTAAAACTGGTTTGAGAAAGGTATGCAAACCTGAAAACTTTAGGTTCACATGCAGTTCAGCTGCACCTGCACCCTATGACTACAAAAGTTGTAGTAAACTTTTAGCCATGGAATTTTTTTGTGTAATAAAAAAATACATGTAAGTGGTTTATATTTATTAAAAAAAAAAAAAAAAAACTTTTCATATTTTGCAATACCTCACTGATTGTTGATGTTTTGGGTTTGTATTTGTTATGGTGGTTAGCAAAAGTTGAAGTGTTTATAAAGGCTCCAATTTACTCCCACAGTCCAAACTGCATACTGGTAGGTTATCTGTTCACTCATATTGGTCCTGCTGGTGTGTGGCGTGGAAACATGTAAGACTGTGTGGGTACATTAAAGCCGAACTTCACCCAAAAGCAGATGTTCCACCCTTCCTCTTGCTTGTCCCCCCTCCCTCCTCCTGTTTTGGCAGCAATCTGAGAGGAAGTTTGGCCCCAATCCCCCCCCCCCTTCCCCCCACAACTTTCTGGGACATGTCGCTGGTCCCAGAAAGCTGTGGGGAAAAAAAAGCACAGGGAGACTCAAGCATACAAAGTGGGCAGCTGGCTGTGAAGCTGCAGTCACAGCCGGCTGCCCACAGATAGCGAGCTGGCGCCAGGGACTGAAGCCTGGTGAAGTAACTGGCCAGGAGAGGACATTGCTGGATCCTGGGACAGGTGAGTGTCCTATTATTAAAAGTAACTGCTGACTTTTGATTTTTGAAAAGATAACTGAAGCTCCTCTTTAACTTGTGGACTTTTTTTGGACCACAAAGTGATGTGAGCATTTTCATATTCTCTGTAAAGTTGGTGTGAAAACAAAATGTCTGCACTGTATAAATGAGTAAAATGAATAAGTAACTTAGCAGTTTTGAGGAAGCATCTTACTTCTCAGGATACATCTGATAGCGGCTGTCATGCTGTATATCTTTGTTTTGCAGAAGCCATCAACTGCCTGCTTCGAGCAATTGAGATCTACACTGATATGGTATTCTTCCTTTTCTCTATATTATACTTGGGCACCCTTTATGGGACTAAAATGTTTTACCTATGCATGTCAAATGAACACGTTCACCTTAATTATGACCTCATTAACTGAGCATGCATGTTTTTATGCATGCCTTTTCTTTCACTCCCAGCTGCTCTGTTCAGCTGTCAGGAGTGAAGAGAGTTGGTCTTCAAACCATCTCTGATGTGGCAAAACCACCAATTCTGGCACAGGTTTTCGTACATCTCCATTCTAATGCTTCTATAACAGCTGAACCTCTAGGCCATGTCTGCGTGCTTTACACCCTATCACACCGGCAGTCCTCCTGCTTCATCAGTTCAGTCATGTTTTCCAAGAAAAAAACTGATTCTGTTTACATAAGTTTACATCCCTTGTGTGTTTTTTTTGTTTTTTTTTTTGTCTTTTTGTCCATTTTTGTTTTGGTTTGGTTTTTTCTTTAATCCACCCCCTGGAGTCCTTAACAACCAGTGACTCATTTCTTTTGTTAACAAGGTATTCACCCTGACAGCAGAATGTAAACAGACCTGAAAAAAAAATGTCAGACTGATCACTTGCCGGCTCCAAATGCCATGTACGTTTGCCGACTCCAAACGCAGTGTGTGTATATTATATAACATCTGTATGCAAGTTTCTGTGCTTTGTGTTTGAGTTTTGCATATAAGTCCGCTGACTGCATAATGCCTAGCTTCTGTTTGGTCTGGTCCCAAGTGTCGGGAGAAGAAGCTGTCATGCGGCCCTGGCGCTATAGCAGACCAAGGGGCAGGGTCACTGTTGACATCACCAGGTGACCACACCACTTTCTCTACTTTAGCGGAGGGGCCAGTTGACAGCTCCTTCTTCCGCCTTTTGGGACCAGACGATTCAGAAGCTAGTCAGTGGACATATATGCAAATCTCAAACACAAAGCACATAGATTTGCATACATACATATTTTACACACACATGGCATTTGGAGCCAACAAATGTTCAGTCAAGACTTTTTTTTTCTCTCAGTTTTGTTGTTTACATTCTGCTTTCAGTGGGGAATTATGGCTCCTAACAACTAATGCAGAAATGGACTGTTTGTCCGTTTTTTTACATCTGTTTTAGGTCTGCTTCTATTTTATTAACACCCAAAATAGAGCTATGATCCATTTCAAAAATCTTTGCGGATGATCATCCGTTTACATCTGTTTGTCCATAGGTATGCATTGCTCTCCATTTTTCATCCGTCAACGTATGGACGAAAAAACTGACAAACGGTCTGCCCACGTGAAAGGGGCCTTAATGTGTAGAGGTATTGCCTCAGGATTTACACATTGACTGTTTGCATGAACTTGCAGGGGTACATTTAAAGTGACTGCTGAGTATATTATTTTAGAAACTATTACCTTGTTTTTTTTGTAGATTTTAAATGAACGGTTACATTAAACTGGATTATAAAGGATTCGCAGATTTGCAAATATAAGCACTGTGCAATTTCTGCTGTAATTCACTGTATTTATCTGTGTTCCAGGGAAGATTCACCATCGCAGCCAAACATCACATATCTATTGCTGAAATATATGAGTCTGAGTTGGTGGATATAGAGAAGGTGTGTTAGTGCTTTTGCTTTTTGAATATTATATGCGCATTACACATTTACTAAATCATGTATTGATGGCAAAGGAATTAAATCCAGCCAATATTTTACAGGGTCATAATAATAAAATACAGTAGTCAGTCAGTGGCTGACAGCTGGTAACAAAATGAAATGCACTCTTTATAGCACTGTGAAAGCCATCACTGACTCCTGCTTTTCAGGCTCACCAGTGATGTGGCCTTCATAGGAGTTAGGGTGTGACAGCAGTGATGCAATACATATGACTTTCACAGTTTCATTATCTTGTGATTCCAGCCAAAACTACTGGGTGAGGCTTCTCTGTCATTCCTCTCTTAGTGCATCTAGATGCAGTACATTTCATGTACTCTAGTAAAAGTTATATAGTTCTTCATGTGCATTGTTACAAAGACTGATAATAAATCTCTACACTTGTGTAAAGATTGTGTTACTCCTGGTTGCAGTCTTTACCTCTCCTGGGTTCCTTTTGCAAGTAATTGCATATGTAGCTCAGCTGCACGCCCATTCTGTAGCTTTATAAAACTCTTAATTAGCCATTACTCTCACCACAAACATTTACACTATAATTTTTGTAGGTCTAAGTGAATTTATAGATTAGTCTCCTGACCTGGGGGATATTGGTAAAGCTGCAAACCTTTTTTTTTTTTCTCTCTCTCTATCCCCCCCTCTCTTTCTCTATCCCCCCCTCTCTTTCTCTCTCCCTCTTTTTTTCTCTTTCTCTCTCCCTTTTTTTTTTTTTTTTCTCCTTTTTTTTCTTCTTTCCTGTCTTTCCTTCCTTTCTTTTTCTTCTGTTTTTCTTTTCCTTTCTTTCTTTCCTTTCTCTCTCTCTCTCTCTCGTTCCCTCTCTCTCTTTCTTTAGTTCCCTCTCTCTCTTTCTTTCTTTTCATATGTGTTCCATGTCTTCCTTACAGGCAATTGCTCACTATGAGCAGGCAGCTGATTACTACAAGGGCGAGGAGTCCAACAGGTACACATTGATCACATCAGTTTTCTTTACCGAACTGTGTATCAGCATGCAGTTTAAATGATATTGAATATCAGTATAAATAAAATTTATAGTTTAGAGTAATAGGTACATTCCAAAAAAAAAGTTTATGGAAGAACAGCACTTGTGCATTATACTACATATTAAGGACAGGACATTATTATTATTATTATACAGGATTTATATAGCGCCAACAGTTTGCTCAGCGCTTTACATCATACTCAACCATTCAGTAATCTGCCTGCTTATAGTCCATAAATAATATTTTCAAGTGTCCTCAATCTGTAAATGTAATATGAAAAAATTGATCTGAAAAATTTCAAAATGATCGTTTCTTAGGGTAGAGGGAATTCCCCTAGAGGAAAACTAAAGCAGGATGCAAGCACCTGCTTTATGCTTTGGGTGGTGATTTATATATGGTGTTGAAATACAAGTACACTTATGCCTCAATAACATTTAACAAATGTGAATGGTGGTAATTCTCAGATAATGGCTTATTTTTATCTATATAAAAAAATAAACTTCAGCACCACTCCAGTGATTGGCCATGAGAGATAATATTGTTGTGTGGCTGCTTTTATGATACTAGAAAGGTGCACAAGTTAACATTTTAAAGATAAAAGTAAAAATTTTGCATGCAGTTGTTCACATTTAATGATGTTTTGGGGTTTTACTTATTTAAATACATGTAGTTTTCATTTTACAGAATATATATTTATATATATATATATATATATATATATATATATATATATATATATATATTAAAAATAAAACTGCTGGATGATGGGCATTTACTACCAAGTCACAAACGTCCTGGCGTATTGTTTGTAAACCATCACAATTATGTTTTTTTCGTTTTAGTTCTGCCAACAAATGTCTTCTGAAGGTCGCCACTTACACAGCTCAACTGGAGCAGTATGCAAAAGCTGTTGAAATCTATGAGCAGGTAGAAACCACACACATCTGTTTAATTTGGGTCACCTCTTTAGGACAGGGCTGTCTCATTCTTCTTTACCTCTAGGAGCCAGTTGAAGGGCTGGGTTGCACTGCCTTATGTCCACTCAGTCTGTCCCTTGTACTTCATTTTAGGTTGGTACCAATGCAATGGACAGTCCTCTTCTCAAATACAGTGCCAAAGAGTATTTCTTCAAAGCTGCTCTCTGTCATTTCTGCATCGACATGTACAACGCCAAGGTAGTTCGCTTATTTGCTTTGGCCATGTAGGCATTTCAGTTTTTAGAATATGATCAGCATTTCTTAAGTGTGCTTTTTTTTTTTTTTTTTTTTTTTTTACAGCTGGCAGTCCAGAAATATGAGGAAATGTTTCCAGCTTTTTCTGATTCCAGGGAGTGCAAACTAGTAAAGGTAAAATCTGCCGTCTATCAATCTTCCTGTCAATTTAATATCAATTTGTCTTTTTTGCCTAATTAATGTCTTTCTGTTGACATATCAGACTGGATGTCGCTCCAATTCCTTAAACTGAACCTCTCCAAAACCGAGTTTCTTGTCTTCCCCCCCAGCCCGGACACCACCCCCCATTGACTTCTCCATCACATCCAACAACGCCACCATCAAACCCGCCCCGCAGGCCAGAGTACTTGGTGTCATTCTGGACTCCAACCTATCCTTCCAGCCCCAAGTCCAATCTTTAACAAACTCGTGCAGACTCCACCTCCGCAACATCGCCAAAATCCGCACGTTCCTAACCCCAGAAACCACTAAACAGCTCATCCACTCCCTCATCATATCACGACTCAACTACTGCAACTCCCTCCTCACTGGCCTACCTCACCACAGGCTATCACCGCTTCAGTCGATCCTGAATACGGCTGCCAGACTCATTCACCTTTCTAACCGCTCCGTTTCCGCCAACCCCCTCTGCCAATCCCTCCACTGGCTTCCGATTGCACAACGGATCAAATTCAAAATCCTAACACTGACGTACAAAGCCGTCCACCACACTGCCCCCGAACTACATCACCGACCTAATATCCGAGTACTGCCCAGCACACACACTCCGCTACTCAAAAGACCTCCTTCTCTCTAGTTCCCTGGTCTCCTCCTCCCATGCCTGCCTCCAGGACTTCTCCAGGGTATCACCCATCCTCTGGAACTCCATGCCCCAACCCATCAGATTATCACCTACTCTCCTCTCCTTTAGGTGCACCCTGAAAACCCACCTCTTCAGGGAAGCCTACCCCACCCCCTGCTAACTTGCCGACCTCCTCCACTCTTCCTACCACTCCATCCCCCACAGCTATCTCCTCCTGTGCCACCATCCCCTCCCTCCTAGATTGTAAGCTCGAAAGAGCAGGGCCCTCGATCCCCTCATATTTTGCATTGTATTGGTAATTGTTCTGTCACATGTTCTGTCCCCCTTTGTAATGTACAGCGCTGAGCGAACTATTGGCGCTTTATAAATACTGTATAATAATAATAATAATTCAATACTCAAAAGACAGGGCCTCAAAATGGGCTCCCGAAAACACCAAAGCCCTACATATAATGTTCAGTGTGTTTTAAAAGCAGAACTTCACTCTCTAAATCAACATTGACTAGTTTTAATCCTTATGCTGCTAGCATTAGTAAAGAGATAGGAAAATATTTCTACATCTATATTTCTAATATTTTTACATGTTTTACACTTTTTTACATTTCTTCAGTTGCTTCCTGTTTTCAGGCCTAGGCAAATGATGTCATACATCCCAGGAGTCTTGAGGGGAGGAGGGGTTTTCTCAGCTAAGCACACCCTCCTGTCTGCATGTCTGAGCTAAGGGCAGATGGATTCCAGGAAGTAAAGCTACATGAATCATCTGCTCTTACTCAAGATGGCCACGGCCAGAAATGCTAGAGGGGTGGGTTTTTTTTTTCCAACATGACTTCTCAGCAAAATAAATCATGTAAACAGGTGGATGGGTGAGTAATGCTTTGAATATTAAAAATTAATTAAATGGCATTTTTTGTTTTTGGTGCTCAGATGCAGTGTAGTTCTGCTTTAATACTAAAGAAAAATGCCAGACTGCAGATAGGCTGCAATAAATGATCAGAGGCTGCAGGCATGCTACAGGAGATGGTCAGAGATATCTGACATACGCCTAAAGTTGCTGGAACTTGCTGCAGGGACTGTTCCAGGCTAGGGACACATGAGGCTGCTAGAGGTCATTGCCGTTCTTGTCCCCCTACAGATCAGTGCATGTACATTAGTGCTCATTACATACATTTTAAAATTACTGACACCTTGTTTGATATACATTATTTGGGCACCAGAGGTTGACTCTGTCTAATTGATCTTAGGGACTTTTTACTAAGAAGAACAGTGAACTATGTAGAACAGTATCAAATTTAGGTTAGAAAAGCTGAACAAGGTTACCTAAAAATTGCAATGACGCTGGCTGGGAGGTATAGTAACTGACACTGACATCATTGATGACATTAATACAGCAATCAGTGCTAATACTGTACGCTGTCACTGTACTAATGTACTTAAGATGTTAATTAGATGCTGACACTGTGTAATGTGTGTAATGTGTTCTGATTTTACTTGCAATCTTGCTGTTTTTTCTCCCTGCTCTTCAGAGAGAAGAAACAGCATGATCAGTCTTCTGTTTACACAGAGTCCTGTGTGTTTTGTCAACACTGGTTTCTGGGCTGTGATTGGACACAGCCAATAAGCAGGTTTCAGCCAAAATCATTGGCTGAAACCTGTTGGCAAAATAGCACTGTGTCCTATCACAGCATGCCTGCGCCCACGGATCCAGAAGAAGCCGGTTTAGGTTTTTTTTTTTTCCAGGTATTTACCAAAACCTATTCAAGCTATAGTTATATAATGGATATGGGCTGAACGTGCACACTCTCAGGTTTAATTTGAGGGTATGTACATCCAAATTGGAAGAAGGGTTTAGGAATTACAGCTCTTAAGAGTAGCCACCCCCCCCTTTTTCAAGGGACCAAGAGTAACTGGACAATTGAATCAAACGCTGTATCATGGCCAGGTGTGGGCTACTCCTTCAGTATTTCTTTGGAATCTATTGCTGTGAACCTACATCATGCATTCAAAGGAGCTGTCCATGCAAGTGAAACGGCCATTGTAAGGCTTCAAAAATGAAACAAATCCATCAGAGAGATAGCAGCAACATTAGGAGTGGCCAAATCAACAGTTTGGTACATTCAGAGGAAAGAAGAACACACTGGTGAGCTCAGCAACATAAAAAGGCATGGAAAACAGTGGGGTATGATAGCAGGATCCTCTCTATGGTAAAGAAAAACCCATTCACAACATCCAGACAAGTGAAGGACACTCTCCAGGAGGTGGGCGTATCATTGTCAAAGTCTACAATCGAGAAGACTTCATGAGAGCAAATACAGAGGGTTCACCACAAGGTGCAAACCATTCAGAAGCCTGAAGAATAGAAAAGCCAGATTAGACTTTGCCAAAATAACATCTAAAAAAGCCAGACCAGTTCTGGAAAAGCATTCTTTGGATGGATGAGACTACGATTAATCTGTACCAGAATGACGGGAAGAAAAAAGTGTGGAGAAGGCTTGGAACAGCTCATAATCCAAAGCACACAATGTCATCTGTAAAACATGGTGGAGGCAGTGTGCTGGCATGGACATGAATGGCTTCCAGTGGCACTGGGTCATTTGTGTTGATTGATGTGACAGAAGCAGCCGGATGAATTCTGCACTGTTTAGAGACTTACTGTCAGCCCAGATTCAGCCAAATGCAGCAAAGTTATTGGGCAGCGCTTCACAGTACAGATAGACAATGATCCAAAATACACTGCAAAAGCAACCCAGGAGCTTTTGAAGGAAAAGAAGTGGAATATTCTTCAATGGCTGAGTCAATCACCTGATCTCAACCCAATTGAGCATACAAAACTAAAGGCAGAAAGTCCCACAAACAAAGAACACATGAAGACAGCTGCAGTTAGAGCCTGGCAAAGCATCAGAAAGGAGGAAACCCAGTCTTTGGTAATGTCCATGGGTTCTAGACTTCAGGCAGTCATTGCCAGTAAAAGATTCTCAACAAAATATTACAAATGAACATTTTATTTATGATTATTTTCATTTGTCCAATTACATTTGAGTCCCTGAAAATGGAGGGACTGTGTATAAAAATGGGTTGCAGTTCCTAAAATTTGTACTTGATATTGATGATTAACCCCTTGAATTAAAGCTGAAAGTCTGCACTTCAAATTCATTTTGTATTGTTTGTCTCGTTTTCACTTATTCTGGTGGCATACAGAGCCAAAACTATGAAAATTGTGCCTGTGCCCACATATATATGGACCTATCTGTGTGTGTATGTGTGTGTGTGTGTATATTATATATATATATATATATATATATATATATATATATGTGTTTAGTGGTGTGTGTGTATGTATGTATGTATGTATGTATGTGTGTGTATATATATATATATGTGTATATATATATATATATAGTAAAAAATGAGCATCAAGGGTAGAGTCTTTTAAAGCACACAGCCACTCGCTTCCTTCTTTTCAAGGGCCGTTTTAGCCCAATTTTATTTAAAGGAAATTTCCACACAATATGTTTCCCACACAGGGGTATCCACCATCGATCCAAATGAAACAAATATTCAGCCTCCCGGCTCTCTCAGGTAAATAGCCCCTGGCTGCTTTGGCTCCCACCTCTCCTAGGTGGAGCCCTCCTGATTCCTGGGCAATGACCTCCTGTCTGCTGGGGTAGAGCCCAGAACCCTTAGGTTATTTAAAGCCCTGCACACACCTGTACAATTAGTGTGCTGGGGGTTCAGAAAGCATGGACCCAGGATTGGAGATTTCATCCGTCCCAGATCACTTTGAAATCTCCAGGCTCCAGATCCCAAAATGGACTTTACGAAGAAATTAGGAAACTGAAAAGCCAGTTTCCTCTGCATTAAATAAACCCTCTGGAGCCCCTCAACTTGTTTAGTTGAGAATCCCTTGATTCTCAGTGACAGTGCCCAGAACTGCCACTAGTAAATCGCAGACTTGGTGACGAATATGCTGACTTGAGAGGGGCAGGACCAAGCTGAACTGAAAGGCGTATGTACAATAACTTCTAACTCTTCTTTTTTAACCAGCAGTTTTCACCTATGGTTTACCTTAACATCTTGAAACTCCAAAAATACACCCTGTATCCGGAGAGCACGTAATCTAGGTTTTGAGTTCATGGTTTTAATGACAGGTCTACTTTTTAAGCATTTTTTTTTTTTTTTTTTTACTGACAGAAGTTGCTGGAGGCTCATGAAGAACAAAACATGGACAACTATACAGATGCAGTAAGTCTTGTTTGTGGGTTTTGTTTTTTTCTCTTGTTATAGTACAGTTTGAATATATAACATCACACTTTGAATCTTAATAAAGGCAAGCAATTAATGCATGTGCTTTTTATTGAACAATGTCTCTGCTCTGGTGTCTTGACTTTCACTTTAGTAGCAATTAACTTTTTTTTTTTTTTTTTTTTTTTTTTTTTTACTAATTTTAAAGCCATTAGACATAAAATAGTGATCGCTAATTGCAATTCCGCAGTTGCATTTGCTTCTTTCTTGATATCATTCTGTCCCAAAGCACTTAACTTATTAAAACGTTTTGCTCTACAGGTTAAAGAATATGACTCTATCTCCCGCTTGGACCAGTGGCTGACTACAATGCTGCTTCGCATCAAGAAGACCATCAAAGGAGAAGAGGAAGACTTGCGCTAAGGGCTTCATTCTGTATCCCCTTCCCCCAGTGATCTGAGCCCACTTTAGGAATTGTGAAGGCGGGTTGTCGGAAATACTGCTTATATTATTGGCATTAAAATCTAAGTTTCCCACAAGATCCTCTGTCACCATTTCGAAATTCTGCCCCTGTACTTGAGCCATTTTGTGAACTTTATCAGTCATATGCAGTTGGTTTATTGGTAGGCTGCTTTTTATGAGGGATGCTGATCACAATAATATGGCTGCTTCTACAGTACAGAGGCATTGAATATACCATATATTTTTTTTTTTAGTTTTTGTGCTATTACAGTTTAGGTCTACAATATTGCAGCTGGACGGCATGACTTTTCTGCACGTTTTTAGCTAGCATTATAAACCTCCTCAGTGACAAGTGGGCTCCTTTTTTTTTTTTTTATACTGTAAAACCCAGGCGCTGTCTGTGCAATTTGCACTTTTTGGGCAAGCAGCTCAATCATTGTACCATTGCATGGAATTGGGGGCATGTAAAGGGAGGGAATTGGGAGGGCTGAACTCTGGCCACATCACACCACACTAAACATAATATGAACGTATATATTTTATTGGAAGGATTGGAAGGCCACAGTCTGGCTCCCATATATGAGAGTTCAGTACTTCTTAGCCTGAGCAGACCAGCCAGAGAAGCATACCAGGAATGCAAAGGTTTTCATAAGTAACCTCATATTTTATTTCTTCTTGCAACCCCTTGGTGTGTTAGATTATAAAAATAATTATTGTATTTTATCCATAAATGTAGGAAACCATATACAGTATCTATATGATAACGATTTAAACTGCACACTCAAATTTAGCACAAATACTGAGCATCGAGGTTTAGGACCAATGAATATTGGGGCTTAGTTCTATAGAAGAAGAAGAAAAAAAAGCGTCAATGTTCCCATGGCACTTAGACTACCAGATTCCAGCTGTTTATATTTTTTTTTTGGCTGAGTTATTGCTATGGGGAAACACTTTGGTATTTACAGTCTGGGCTCCCTCCTGTTTTGATAATGCGAAGCTAAGGCCTAGTGTGCTTTACTAGCTTGTGAGATGCCTGCCTGCATCTAGCTTCTTCCAGGAGGGCCGGGGCCTGGATGGAACTTACTGATTTGTCAGAAATGAAAAACTGCTTTTTTTTTTTTTTTTTTTTTTTTTTTTTTTTTTTTTTTTTAACCATCATGCCCCCGTTTAATGGACATCTTTTACAAAGTTGACATTGCTTTATTGTGTATTGTGCATATTTCCCAGCATTTTATGATGACCCCCAGATGTGGGTTATTTGTTTTTTTTTGTCTTGTCCGTTGTCTTGTGAACCACCAAAAAATAAAAAAAAAGTGCAGCAAACCCCTTGTGAAATAAAGCCAGTGGGATGTATTAAGTCTGTGTGCCTAATAGCTTATCATATCCAAAGGAATAGTATATACATGCCTTTGTTCACTTTAGCACTGGGAGTTAAAGGAAGTACCGGGTCATTTTAAGTATGTGACTTTCTCCGTGAGCTAGTGACTAGAGACTTGTGTAAGCTGAGACTGGCAACTTGTAGCTTACACAGGTCTTTGCTATGCTTCTGGCAGCAGAATGGAATGGAGCGCAATGGAAAGAGAAAGGCTGGCAAGTATGTGCAGAAACCAAAGTTAAAGTGAATTTGTTGCTTTGCCCTACATGGACACTTTTACATTCTAAAGTGACCCTGCCAATACAGGGGTACTTATAAAAGTAAAAAAATTTTTTTTGCAAAATCCCCTCTGTAGGAAAAGACAACCCTCTGGGGGCAGTCCAGTCCCCATGGGGCTCAAAGTGAACAGATCTTCTAGCTTGTCTGTAATGACCAGTGAAGGTCTCCATGAATATGGATCGCCACTAAGCATGAAAGCCTTGCTGTCCTCTTCAATTCAGGAAAATCAGTATTAAAACAAACAAAATAAGGTGGCGCACCAATCTAGTGCATTACTGTAAGACTTTTTACCCCTTGGTGCCAGCACCCATCCGGCCCTTTTAAGGGGTTTGAGACGTCAGGAGGCACTGTGGGGTTTTGGGTCATGTGACTGCCATGATTGACTGTCATGGCAGTCACATGATAGGAAAGCTCCCGGTCGCAAGTAGCAATCAGGACGTTTCTGTGAGGGGCCGGGAGCACGCACTTTCAACACAACTTTTGATTACATTGGGAATGCAAATATGCGGCCACTTGGCGCCAAGGCCCAGCCGCCGAGAGGTTGCATATTTGCGTACGCTTGGTGCCAAGGAGTTAATGGAAAATAAATATATAATTTATTTTTTTTTTTTTTAGGTAGAGAGGGGTTAGAACACCTGTCATGTTTTTATTGCTTTTTGTGCCCCTTTGGGGAGATTCACCCTCTCTAATTGTCCTGTTTACTGTTTTTATTGAAAGTGAAAGAAAATCCCAAATTTTGGGCTGTCCCCAGGACAAGATTTGATGGGAACCGCTTCCAATAGGGACACTAGTTCTGGTGACAACCAAGGATTCCCTCACTTTAGATTCCTCTCGCTTCCTGTTTCGTCCATCACATTACATGTCTTGCAACATGTGCCAAAGGGAAGACCCATGCAACATCCAGTGCCCAAACCGACATTACAGGTGGGGTCTTAAGGTGTTACCAAGGTTGCACTGATCTGGATACACTGCTTTTCCTGTTGTATTAGCAGACAGTGAAGTGTTGATTGAAGAATCAGAAGTAAAATAATAAACTAGTGAATTTATTTAAGAGTGCATTCTCTGTGAGGTAGAAGAGGTCAATCACTTTAGGTAACTAGCAATAAAGGATGACTCTTGGAATGGAGTAGGGTATATGGAGGAGATGTGTCCTCAAAGTTTGTGTCTAATCACCTTAAGGAACCAGCCTACAACCCAGGGTCTATAAATATCAAGCCTGTTTCCTGTACTGTATGATTGGTTCACACTGGTGTGACTTTCAACATAGAAAGTCGCATGACAAGTCAAAACACATTCATTTCAATGGGTGCCATCTTAAAGTGGCAGTAAACCACCACAAAAATTAAAAGAAAAATCAGGTCCTTGCAGGTTTAATGTACTGGTATGCTTCCCAGGACACAGAACTTTCCAGCACAACACTGTTACGGCTCCTGGGCGCATCAATCTTCACCCAGTCTTCCTTTGGGTTTCGTGGACTCTGGCTGTATGAATGGCCGGGGCTGTGATGACAATAACCCTGTGCATGCATGTGGGGAGTCTCGGCTCTGTTCCTTCAAAACACATGTGTCGGTGATGTTAGTGGTTTGTACTCACAAAAGAAAAGATATCACATGTATCACCCTTGAAACATGTAAGCTACACCCATTTTGGTGGGAATGCGTTTGGTGGTGTGATTGACTTTGTTACATGTATGTGGCATCTTTTCTTTTGTGGGTACACTGGAATAAAAAAAGTTTTGCCTTTAGTTATACTCGAAGGGACAGGTTTTGGACTTGTTCATTCTTTTCCAAACCCTGTGCTTCCTTGAAACCTCAATTTAGTTTTATCTGCCCTGAAGAAACCACCCTTTGAACCTATCAGGGAATTCCCCTTGGACATTCCTTCCTACAAGGTAGCCTACTTGGTGGCTTTCACAACTGTCAGACATGTCTCCATGTTAGCGGCTAACTTTTAAGGAGCCATTCCTCATTCTTCATAAGGATCAAGTCTTTCGCCCAAGATCCTTTTTTTTTCTGTGGTGGTGTTGGCCTTCTACCTCAACAAACACATAGTCCATTGTGCCCTGGTTCAAGGCATCCAAAGGAGATTGCTCTTTACTGCCTGGACATGGTCAGAGCCATCAGAGTTGATCTCAAAGCTACAGGTTCTATCATGAAGGCAGACCTATTTTATCTACCATCAGGACCTGGCAAGGGATATCCTGCTTCAAAATCCACTATAGCTTGATGGATAAGACCACTAATCTCAAGAGCTTACATTTTAAAATACAAAGCATCTCCTGCACTAATAAGATCGCTAGGAGTCTCCTGGGCAATCTGACATGAAGCCTTTGTTGTCCGGGTCTCTGAGACCACCACTTGGTCTTCTGTTTGTACCTTTAACAAGCTTTACCAAGTGAGAGTCCAGTCTACAGCTCTAGGCTGCAAGGTTGTTGGCTCTGATGACCCTTGTTATTGTTGGGCCAGTTTCTGTGTTGTTGACCACCTTTATTATGCATTGCTTGAGGATGTCCCAGGGTCTATGAATATGTCCTGTACTGTACGACTAAGACAAAAAAAAATGACTTGCCTGTAAATTCCATATCTTTGAGTACAGTACAGGATACAGGCAGAGTGTTCATAGACCCTGCATTCTACATTGCTTGCTACAATACTGAGGACTTGTGGAGGGGGTTATGGTTATAGGGTAGACACCACTGACAAAATACAGGTAAATCAAAATTCCTTTTTTTTTTCTTCTTTGTCCGCATGCTCCATGCACTTTAGTGGGTTGCCACACATTACACTGCAACATATGTCTGTTAGAAGGTAGGTTGGGGTGCCATTAAGAGTGTACCACATCATATTGATGCACTTATCGTGTGTTGATTGCGGTAAAGATCAGAGTGCATGGGTGCTGGTGTGCGGTGGAAGTATGCTGAGCCATTTCACCAAGTTCTATTGGCCGCAGCACACTGTGATGTGGTGGCTTGCATCTCACCAAGCTGAAAAAGAAAGTGCTGCGTGTTGTACCTTTTTTTAAGCACACACTACTGCAAGGCAAGGGTATGAACTGACCCCTTAGGGAACAAGGCTTTTGTCTTGCACTGAGACTGGTCCAGCACAGCGGGTATGGAAGGGCTGGAAGAAGACTCCACTTTTTACATAGTTATGTTGGCTGGTAGGTATGGGGTTAGTTTCTATTCTGCTCCTGGCTGTGGTGATCCTTTCTCAATTTTTTTTCAAAGGGTTCTGACCCATAAACATGGGGAGTGATGTAAGAATTCCTGATCTGCATACTTCCACCAGGTCAGCCATTCAGCATTGAG